CGATGTAGCACAACCCATCTTTGTCATTTTGATGCAAGCAGTAGACCTCATACATTTCAGCATTAGCCTTCGAGCTGATGACTCGTTCAGAAACACTCTAACTTGGCTATTTATTGCATGTGAGTGATGGGTTTGACTTGACTATATGGTGAGTTCGTCTTATACAACGCAACGGAAGTGAGAACTAAAAAGCCTATGAAGCATTAGATAGCTGTGCGAGTCCATCGATCTAAATGAGGAGCAGATCCGGGACTATTAATGATATCAGTGAGGCAACACAGGCAGTTATATGGGATACGCAATTATTTCACTGGTCAACACCAGTTCATGTCTTGAGGGTGCCACCTTATCCCTTTTTCCGTTTTTGATGAATATCCAGATTTTGATAGTTATATCATTAGAATAAACGATAAATAGGTATATGGTGTAGTGATGCTGCTTTAACCTACAAGTCTTCTGCCACCACCAAGAGACTGCACCTTGACGTGGTGTGATGGCTTGCGCGCCTCCATGATCCTGCGAACTATGCACGATGACCCCGCATGGCCCCAGATCCAGTTAGGTCTGAAAATTCAATGAGCAAAGACCAGACGAAGCCGCCTCACAGGGCCAGCTGGTTGGGCACCTCATGGTTTCCTTTGACTATCCACTCTCGCACCTGGAGAGGTGACTCCAGCAAACAAAAATGAGAAGGGGCAATTTACCTGACGTGGGATCGGGATACCTGGGGCTTTCTATAAACAGTCGGAGAAGTCCTCGCGCTTCATTTTACAGCTACCACCCGCTCAAGCTGGCAATCCCGTCGTGTATCACACTTTTTGTCTATTGCACATCACTGTATTCATAGAATTTCTCTTTTATACGTTTCAGTCTATATGCCAGAGAATTTAGACGAATAAAGCCTTACATCTCCAGGCTCTCAGTCCTCTCTCGAGCAACTACTGACTGTTGTCATCTCCTCGTTCTCAGAATATCTTGCTATTATTTTGATCGACATATGGATAGCTTCCTTGATTACCTTCCGGCGTTTACTGAGTCGTTCGGTTGATGGTTGAGCTGAAAGGCGATAAGAGGTTTCTGCTTCGAAGGCGGATTTGCAGTTATTTCTGACATAGTATTGTGGGTATCCGATTCCTGTTACCTTTATATGGTTGTTTACCAGACATTGAGAGCATCTGGTTTGTAGCACAGCATGGTCTGCACTCACGGATGTTGACCAGTAAGAGCGGCAGTCTTCAATGGATTCTCGCCAGTGGTAGTTGATGGTGATGTGGTCGATTTGAATTCATCGCTGTGAAGAGGTTGGTGGTTTCCGTGTAAAGCTAGAAGTTTGTGCTTTAAAGGAACAGTCAGCGCAAAGTTGGACTGGGTGCTCTTCGTTGTCCGTCCGGTTGGCTAGGATTGCGTGTGTACCAGGGATCGCACTTGGGCATTTAGGACTCCAGCGGCTATCACGATATCCGTTGACCAAGCA